GAGCTTTTCCATCAGCCAAATATACCTTCCCAAAGTTACCTGCAACATAATTTTGCATTAACTCCGACAGGAAGATGTATGGAAGGAAGCCCTTGAATTCAATATCCAGTCATCAACAGAACTGCGAACTGCCAACAATAGTGCATCTAATATTTCTTCATATACAACATTAGCGTCATAACTTTCCTTCTTCTTAGGATTCATGCAGTTCCTTTTTATGTGGTCAGCCTTGCCACAATTTCAGCAGGTTGCTGCTGACAAGAGTTTGATTTTGATCTTTCTCTGTTTGAGTTCCTACCTTGTGATCTCCCTCTGGAATCGACAATCAGTGCCGAACTCGAACACGAGGTCTCACCAGAATCCTTCCTACGCACCTCCTCAGCTAAAATTAAATCACAAATATCATCATATTTCAGCTTGGATTTACCTGCAAAATTGCTAATTGCCATCCCCATAGCTTCCCAGCTATTTGACAATGAAGCCAACAATATCAGCGCACGTATCTCATCATTAAAATCAATTTCAACAAACAACAATTGATTTGTGATGATATTGAAATCATTCAGGTGTTAAGCAACAGAGACACCTTCAACCATCTTCAAGTTGAATAATATTTTTATCAAATGCACCTGTTATTCACAGATTGCTTTTCATACATACCTGATAAAGCCACCATGAGAACTATATTAATTCTCTCCTTGATGATGTTGTGGGCAACTGATCTCGACAGAGTTAATCGAATAACCCCCAAAACCTGTCGATCCAACAGATTCCATTCCGCCTAGTACATCTTTTCTAGTCGCTTTCCTAATAACAAAAGATGAAGTTTCTTCTCATAGAGGTAGTCTTCTATCTGCATCCTCTAGTAAGCTAAATCTATGTCATTGAACTTCTTGATCCCCGATGTCATCACTTCGTCTCCGCCCATCATTCTTGCTTAGATTCGAACCTAATCTCTGATACTAATTGTTGTGAAAAACGACGACAATAAAGCGAAAAATGGAATGAGAAAAATTGCACGTAGAAAAAAATCAGAGCAACACAGATTTACGTGGTTCGACAAATTAACCTACGTCCACGGAGCTGCAAAGGATTTTACTACTTCGAGGAATTACATTGAAGCCTCGACGTTTACAAGAAAATCTCTATTTTCTTCTCTCCCTTCCTCTCTATCTCTCTCTCTCCCTCTCCCTCTCTGACTCTCTTAGAGGACTTGACTTGACCTTGTTTGGCTTCATAACAAGTCATAAGAGACTATACTATTTATAAAAACCAGGAAGAGCGGTAGGTGGGAAGGTAGGTGAGCGGTAGGTGAGATTCTTAATTAGGAAGCTAATTAAATTGTGGTGGATCGGGTCTCCACATTACCCAACAAAAAGAATATTTTTTTGAAATTTTAGTTCAAGCTGAAATTCGAGTCGAACACTAACTTAATTCAAACAAATGAGCTTGAATCAAGCCGAAAACGAATAAATAATTAACGTGCTATTTTGAACACGAGCCAAACACGAACAAAACAATATTTAAACAAGCTGAACACAAACAAGCCATGGCTCGCTTAAGCTCGGCTCATTTAAACCTTTAGCGATGATGGAGTAATAAATTGACATCTTAGCATAGCACTAAATTCAACATACATATAGATATATAAAAAGTAGCAGGGGACACCATTTTTTTACGTGAAAACACAGGGCCTAACTCAATCGAAGTAATCCATAATGTAATTATGAGTACATAGGTAAACTATTCTCATGAATTAGGGAAGATGAAAATATAAAGTTGATGTATAATGGTATTTCAACAATAATAGCCGTAACAGGCTACAAAGGCTTTAGACAATTGCTATGGAGGTAATAGTCCACCATGAATTTTTTATATGGTGGATGTAGTGCCTAATTGTTGTAAAGTATGAGTTGACAGTCATAATAGTAGTTAGCCACATAGGTCGTAGGTAGTAGCTTCAAGAGCCTTTGTTGCCCACAATGGCTAAAACGAAAGGTTGTAATGATAACAATTATCAATGTAGGCTGTAGTAGGGAGTTGTAATGATGTTCATAGAGCATAGAGGTCAGAATTGAAAGTTGCATGAGTTGCAAGCCATGTAGGTCATAGTTGGTCACATAGACCATAGTGTTGAGCTACAATAACTTTCGTAGGACACATAGGTCAGTGTTGGGAGTTGCAGGAGATGTGAGTTACAAAGGCTGCAGCTGATCATGTAAATCGTAGTGGTGAGTTGCAATAACGTCCATAAGCTACAGAGCATAAATTGGGAGCTGCATGAAGTTTGAGTCAAATAAGCCAAAGTTGATCACACAGACTATAATAATGAGCTGCAATAATACTCGTAGACCATAAAAGGAAGCAGTTGGAAGTTGTGTGAGTTGTGCATCACGTTGGCCATAGTTTGTCACGTGGATTGTAATGATGAGTTGCAAAATTTTTTGTAAGCCACATAGACCAAAGTTGGGAGCTGAATTGGCTGTGAATCATGTAGCTTGTAGTTGGTCACATAGGTAATAGTGGCGAGCTGTGAACCAAGTAGGTCATAGTTGGTCACATATGTCATAGTGGTGAGCTACAATGATGTTCGTAGGACACATATGTTAGAGTTGGGAGTTGTATGTGTTTTGGATCATAAAGGCCGTAGTTGGTCACATAGACCGACATGCTGAGCTGTGATAACGTCGTTAGGCCATAGAGGCTGGAGTTAGGAACTGTGTGAGCTATGAGCCACATATGCCATAGTTGGTCACATATGCCATATTGATGAGTTTCAATAACATCCATAGGCTACAGGGGTCGGAGTTGGAAGCTACAAGAACTATAAGCCACGTAGGCCATATTTGGTCACATAAGCCAAAATGGTGAGTTGAGATGGCATTGATTGGTTATAGAGGCCGTGAAGGTGAGCTATAAGGAGAGAACTTCAGGAGTCCATAAGAAGTCACAATATCCTAGATATGACAGTCACAAGCCATTGTTAGATCTTCAATATGGTATTATTTGTTACCTGTATTAGGGGTAATTTACTAAGATTGATTCAGGGTGCATCGTTACACCGTGTTTGTGCGTGTTATTAGACCATCTTCAGTGTGCACCACTACACCGCAAAGTATGTAGTTACTTCGCAAGATCCACTTACAGCTATAAGCAAAGGCCGACTGAGTGGTTAATTGCCGCCGACAAGCTGTGGTTGGTGACTGGCAGAGTAGGAAGTGTTTGCTGAGCCTTTGGTTCGGAATAACCCTGTAAATTAGTTCATTCTCTTATCCTTGAGGTCCATGACTCCCTCTATTTCAATGTCTAGGTCTCTATTCATTAAGGGGGTAGAACTCTATTTTTACAGTTTATGATTGACCTCCCTTTAAATAAGAAATAATCTAGAACACTATCAAACATTCTAGATCATAGATTCCCATGATCAGAGGACATATTGTGAACATTTTAGTTACTTAATGATGTCGGAATTGAGTGATCTTAGGCTCGTTAGATTCTACACTCAATTTGACTATAAACTCATCAAATTTAAAATTCATTTAACATTCCAACTAAAAAAAAAAAACACATTCAAAAGTGGCTTAACATGCTTAAATTAGATAAATTTTGATGTCATTGTGTTTTTCTAATCTAAACAGTCAGTTTGACTATAATTTAGCTAAAAGTATGTTACTAGATAATTTTTAATTTGAATTTGAATGTTTCTTGTTAAAAAAATACTCTGAGATTCGTTATAACTTCCTCGGGATTCAGGTCATGCCACAAAATTTGTTAATGACATCACATATATATTTTTAATGAGAAATTTATATACATATCAACATCGATTGTTATGCATTTGAACGTTTGTTATTTACTTTTCGACACCTTAATATTAAAACTTATGCATTAAAAGATATTTCAATTTTAAATAACAATAGTGATATTTTTAATGTGATGTTAAAAATTCGAGTGTTTTGTATGCCAATATGAAAGTTTAAATGTTAGATATCTAAATATATAAGAATTATTCGGTATGTTTATGAACACCTCTTTTTAAATTAATTTATTATACATAACACCCATCTCAAAATAACACATCCTTATAAAATTTTAATCCGAATATCTTTTATAAATTTTTTTATACAAGGCTCACATTTCATCACTATATGCAAAAAGATTGATCTCCAAATCAGTATAAAAGCAACCTAATTATTGCCTTAAATCGACCCAATTCACAGAAGAGTTACATTACCGTTCTAAACTTTAAATCCAACATATATTTAGAAAAAAAAAAATATATATATATATTCTGCTGCCAAATGTTGAAAGCATTGAAGACAAACACCTGCCTTGAACGTATAATAGATGTTCCTTTTGCTTTATAGGATTCTACGCTCAATACTATTGATCATAAGTTGTACGTACATGACTTGGTTTCATGCAGAGAGAGGCGGTTGTCGTTGTTGCTTTAAACATTTGGCAACAAAACATTTTCCTCAATGAAGTTGAATTTATGGCTTAGGACGCTAGCGTTAAGCTTCGATGAATTGGTAGGTTGATTTAAGGCAATAATTAGGTTGTTTTTTCCTCTTATAACTAAAGAACCTGCCAATGAGCCAATTCAAACTCGAAAAATTAAGCTTGAGCTCAAGCTCAGCTAAATTCATTAATAAAACTCAAGCTAAAATCGATACACCCCTAACTTTGATTATCAATTTTGACCTTTTTGCTTTCAAGTTCTTTTTGGAATTTTCCATAAAAACCACTCAATTCCTATTTATTTACATATTTAACACCTAAACTTCATTTGTACATACATGCCACCTTACCTATGCATGAAAAGTTGTATTTCACTTTTTAAAAATTAAAATACTGATTTCAAAAGATTTAGTGGTATAAATGTAAAAGCTAAATATAGGTGTTAGATATGTAAATGCATATGAATTAGGTGGTGCATGGAGATGAGACCTCCCTCCTAATTACAATGTAAAAAACTTCATCATTGAATTGCTAGCGAATTTAGCATCAAAATGTTGAATTGCATCATGTCATATATTTTCAAATGAAGATGAGGAAATTTACAGCACGCACGTTCTTAGAATTTCAGTAAGAAAGTGCGAATCTCCATAGGACCCAACTCAACAATTAAGGTAGAATTGTTCACAGGACCACCTTTAAGTGGAGCTGGATGGCTTGTGCTGTCTCCTTCAACTCTCCAATTCCTTTTCTTCATTTCTGATTTGTTTTGATTTGCTGATAAGCTTGTTTCTACCAGTTCCTTGATCTGCATTTCCGACAACAAGAAATTCAAAATTATTTCATTTTGGGATTAATGGGGTATTTTTTTTCTACTAATGATGGAAGCAATATTTTCATAAGAAAAAAAAAGCTGGAATCAAAAGAAAAATGGAAATATATCACAAGGCAGCGCATCTCAAAGCATTTATAAGCAGAAATTTGAATCTTTGCATTAGACAACTTTATTGACTCCAATAAATATGTATATAACTCAAGGGGAATGTGTTGATAATACAGCTATCAGCAAAAATACAGTAAAAATAAGTTTTCAATTCCACAATTAAAGACTATGTTAGATCTAATTTTATGATCCTTCATTTTCTTGAAAGTTGATCTTAGAAGTGGTAAATGTTGAATTAGGATTTGTCCTGAAAATGAATGGAAGATAACTATTAAGACACATTTGATAGCCTTTGGTAATGTCTTTTGATCTTTCTATGAGATGAGCATGTTTATAAGGATTATAGGTTAAGTTCTAAAGCCATTCTTTGAAAATTTTAAATTGATATGAAATGAATGTAAATATTAAGTGATACAGGATTACCCTCATATGGTACTGACAGGAAATGTGATGTACATGTGCACGTTAAATGACACAGTAAAAGTGTACATTCGGGTACATTTTTTATGGTATTTACGACTACATTTTTTATGGTACTTACAGGTAAATTTTAAGATACATTCGAGTCAATTTGAGGGCGACTTTTGGTACATCTTTGAGAAAACATTCGAGTATGACGATAATCATGTTATGACTATTAAAGATGTTAAAATGGTTAATACTTAAAATGAATCCATAAATGATAAAATTAAAATGAAAGTTCAAGGTTTTATAAAGTAATGAACTGCATTTTATTTTAGTCATCCATGTCTAGTATAATATAATTCAATGCATATAAAAATTATAATTACTCATTAACTCAAATTTAAAGTTAAAATTAATATTTTCTTTTAGGAAAAAAAACCTTAGAATAATATGTATGGTATGAGGGATTTGGTTTACAGGAGGATTGCACCTGATATTTACTAGTTATGTTGTGTTTATAATTTCTTTTTACTGTTCCTTCAGATATTGACATACTGTTTAGTACTGATTTAAGATACAATTTTCAGCTTATGTTGTTATTTTTGCATATTTAATTTTTATTTTACTTTGTGAATTTTAGTGGTTCTTTTATATATTGAAAATTTTTGTAAAATTATATAAAGTAAAATGAAATGTTAATACCGCCCGACTGTTTTCTGTTTTCGCTACAGTAGACGCGTGCTACTCTTGTTTTAGTCGATGGTTTTGCAGTTGCCTCCACTTGATTTGTCTGTTGATTATTTGTTATGTTTTTTTTTTAAAATATGAGTGTTATTCTATTAGTTAAGTAATATGTGTAAGAAAAGTTAATTATGATAAACTCATCTCATGTCTTACTCTCACTTCTTACTTTAATATTTTATGTTACTCTTATTTATTTTTCAATATTTTCATTGCAGGTTGTATGTTAGTTTGATGACTTGATTAACAATATATTTATTTCTTGTGCAAGTTATTACATGATATTTTGATGCTTATGTAACTTTTTATTTCATATAAAAATAATTTGTCATTTTTTATTATGCCATAATGTTAATATGTATTTCTTTAATAAATCTACAAGTTAAGATATATTTTTTTACCCCCTTTATTTTGACTTACGTAATTTTCAAACTGTGAGGTTTACATCCCAGATCACCTTGAGGCATAACCTTACGAACATAAAATGCCACAATACCCAAATGCCCAATTATAGCATTGAAATGGACAAACGGTGATAGAATATACACCCATTAGATGGTTAGATGTTTTTCAAAGTAATTCCATAAAGATGACCAAAAATAGAAAAAAGGATAGAGAGGATGATAACGATGACCTAGAACACAGGAAAGTCAACTATCTAGATTGAGCCATAAATGAGCATATATTTAAAGCTACTATCCATAAATTATAAGTAGATGCATGTACCGTTTTTCCAGCAAAAATTTTCTTCAGTTCCACCTCAGCTAATACTGAATTTTGGACACTCTCCCCGGCCTGCAAAAATGTGTTGAGAACCACATCTGAACTGAAAAGCATATCAATGCAAAAAATAGAATAAAACACTAAATATGATACCTCATATAAATGTGCCAGACGCAGGAGCACAGAGCCATCATCTAATTCCTGCAAGAACATAAACCTTCAATTACAAACACTCGTCAACTAAGCAGTAAAATGTTATTCGGATAGATGGACTCCATACCTCAAGTGTGATAAGTGCAATGTTGGGAGGTAAACTATAACTCGGATCTATGGTAGTAGCCTTTGTAATTTGAGAAGATTTCCAAATTCTCTCATCCTGAATGAAGAATAATGATTTCTGGTTAGCACGATTAAAGCTTGATATGGAGGAAGTAATGATGATGTACCTCATGGGTAAATGCTAGAAGAACTGGTGAGTATATCTGTTGACCATTTGTTCGCCGCCAATTTGCACCACTTCCAATTTGGTTGATGCTCATGTAATATTTCCCTCTAGCCTAAAAAGATTATTGTAAAGGAACTCAAAACATTTTAGAGCTTCAAATATATTTTCAATTATTCTTCAGATATTTTGCTCAGAAATTACAGGCTAGGCAGTATCATTCTGAAGAAAAAGGCAATTGAAGCAAGTCAAAAAGCAGATGATCAAGAAAACTAAGTTCAGTCGTTCCATGATTGAAATATAAACAATAGATAGAAGTCATACCCAATGCAGTAAAGCTTAAGTTTAAATAGCTTCAGGATTATATCATTTTTAATAAAGTTACACTTAAGATTCTAGAATACATTAGATCAATCAAAAATTATCCCTAGAACACATAGGACACAAGAACTGGGTATGCCAGTCTAGCTTTCCTTTCAAAAATATGGCGCTTCAAAGTTATGTTTTATGTTCCATGTTCCGTTAATTTCATTTCAAAGTCCAAGTAGATTCCAATTTATACATATGAAACTAAGAAAGGTTAGATTTGAAGCAGTCATCTTATAAAATCAGGTGATGTAATATGCCATGCAATGAAGTTTTAGTTGCCTTTTTAAGCAGTGGAAAACTGAAGAAAGACAGATCTCAACAAGCATATAACACAGAAGTGACACTTGCTTTTAATATTTGAGGCTTTTTTAAAATGTTTAGTTTGCATAACCAAAGTAATAATGCATAGATAGTTTGTCTGAGAAGCACGATGATGAAGGTGCTAAAGAAATAACATTAAATAACACCTTATCATGCAGCATCAGGAATAATAGATAGAAGAAATCCATTTTAGTCTTTATCTACGTGAACATTCATGCCTTATTGGTTCAAAATTTTGTTATATACAGAATATTTTAGAAAATGGCTGAATAATCCAAGTTTAAGCTGTGTTGCCCGAAAAATAAGAAGAAACAGCATCCAGTGGAAGAAGATAAATCAACCACAAAGAGGATCATACCGTAAGACCCTCACACCCATCAGAAGTACAAACTTCTTCATCGAGGGCTTCTCCAACACCTCTTCCATCATCAAAAAGTAGCCGCCTAGCATTAAAAAGAACTTCGTCAACTTGCATTAACAGAAAATTTCAAGGGATCAATTTATGTCTAAATAGAACCTATGAAGCATGATCTCCAATTGACCATCCTGAATGCTAGAGCCTCCACAAGCACTATCAACAAGTACAGAGAGCTCATACTTCCCGTCTGTCAGATAAATTCCCAAGTTGAGCTGAAAATTTTAACCAAGAAGCAAGTTAAGTAAAGTAGTGCCAACTTGTACGTGACTTATTGCATGCCCAAAATGTTTTCCTAGACTTTATAATCAGTTGCAAGAAAGAGAAAAAGGTAACATAGGAAAATTTGGATGGTTGAAATGCATATATCCATGTCATGAGGAGTAATGCATCGTTATGTCATCTATGTTGATGAGAATAGCTACTTATTAGGAGGAACTGAAGTTCAAATAGGTGGAAAATGATTTTTACATCTAACAGATAAAAACCATATGCTCAATTATCATCTTCTTTCAGTTATTGTTCTTGATACAAGCTTTGCGACTAAGCACAATCAGATGTGACATCAAGATGTATAATGGATGAAATGTCACACACAAGAAAAATTCGAGACATTTCAGTCTTAATTAAAACCAATCAAATGTCGCTCATTTGCAATAGGAAATGCATCAATGTGTCTAGAGCCTCAAATCAAGAAAGGGCCGCTGCAATTGATTAGATAAAAAATGACGACAACGATTGGCAACAAATGTGAGATCATGCAAAATGGGTTCAATTTGCCTTGATTGCAATCATAATAAAAGTGCCAAAAACACCCAAAAAGAACCTCTTGCAACACCAATTACTTCAATATGAAAATGGCAAGCAGCAAACAAAAAGGCACGCAAATCAGGTTCAAAATGACTCTCCTTCAATCAAAATTACGTAATTGTTACCCGTTTATAAACCGCCTCTCTCTCTCTCCTCTCTCTCTCTATGTTTTGTGCGCGCATTCGCATGTAAAGGGAGCGTGGTATACACAAATTTTAGAAACTCCTAAAATCCTGATTAAGACGCATTTAGCATGACAAGCGGAACCTGCAAGCACTTTTTTAAGTTTATTTGGGAAAATTTGCAGATGATACTAACAATGCAGTGAGCAAGCCCAACATGCACTTTTATTAGCACGAAGGGGGAATTCAAATTTAATTACTCAAGATTCCAACAAGGAAAGAAAATTCAAGCGTACACTTTTTTGCAGGCATATATCCATTATAGAAGACCCCCGACCATAATGAGTTAGGATACCGATCATGTACACCTTTTTGGTATAATGGATAGGTCATACACCTATAAATGTACTTATGCAGGAGAAACATAAGTAGGCTGTCAATATTTTCTACACAATGACCCTAATAAAATAAAACTGAAATGAATATGTATAAAAAAATGCAACAAAATGAAGACTAAACATAAATAAAAACAAATCAAACATTTAAAATGTGATATATTTCACAACCAAAAAAATGCAACACACAGAATTGAACATATAAAGAACCCATAGGGGACTAAATAACTCACCAAGCATGAAGCAAACCATTTAGTACTTGGATTGTGCTTCAATCTAAATCAAATGAATTGAAAAGAGCTATAAAATAGCATAAGAACTTAAAAGGTCCATGAAAACTTGGCAGTGAGCGTGAACAAGACTTCTTCTCTACTCCTCTAGAACTCTTTTGCATAGATTATGAACTAAATGCAAGCAATAAAAGTCATTTTGAACACATAATATTTGCCACAGATAATATACAAGCAAACAGACAAAAAATGATCAATTAAATTTTAAAAATGAAACTTTTCATGCATCTTACTAACACAAAATTCATCTAAATATTTTAAATCGGGATAATTTTTAAATTATGTACAAGCATTAATAGACAATCTTCAACTCAAATTTAATGTCTCAAAAACAGTGTAAACGCACCATGTTGATGCATCGTGTTCGATAAAAACATGCAAATGCATTAAAAATTAAGCAAAAGCATCATGCAAATGCACCAGCAGTCATGCCAATGTGATGTACAAACACTCAGAAAATAGTGCAAGCACATCAAAAGACATGCGCAGTGCACTCAAACACTGAACATTTTTGTTTGCATGTTCCACAAATAAACTAAAAATGCTGAATATAATTTAAAGAGTATTTCACAATCTAAAAATGAGATAGACTCAATTTTTTCTGCCTAGAGAGTCATGCAGTTACTTTAAAGTGTTCAATCATTTTAAAAATTTTAAACATACGTATTCGAGTAGGCCACCTGGACTATAAGACAAGATCAAAAGTACCATATATCAAGTTTGATCCTCCATGCTCCTTAAATTAGCGTTGAAAAATGTTAAAACTTGTTCCTGGTGCAAGCATTTTTACTATAAGATTAAAATGACAGGAGGTCTATTCTTACATTTGGAGAAGGCCTTCAATGCCACTTTCAAAGAAAATCCATTTTATTAAAATAAAAACTCCTATTTTTAAACCTATAAGAAACAATCATGAGATCAAACCTAAGGACCCAATTTTCTAGATATAAAGTAGAGTCGACATGGGCTATAGGTAATAAACATCCAAATAAAATTAAATCATATTCAAACAAGTAGATAGATTCGACAAACAAATAGGCAAAGTCGACAATATACAAGTACTGAAGTTCAATAATTTAAATTAACTCCATTATGGAAATCCTTATAATATATCTCAACTAAAGATTATCCTAGTATAAAAAATGCCCTCAAAACTCAAATCAAAGGATTTTTGGGTTCAAATCCCAATATAACATAATAACCTATTAAGATATTACAAAATTACAAATGGACCACCAAGAGATATGTCATTTAAAGCTTAAGAGCTAATATTCATCATCTTCCTTAACAGTTTATCGAGAATAACAAATTTGAGATTGCTTAGCTCATAAAGAGATAATGTCATATCAAACATACATTTATAATCACTTTCAAAGATGGGCATGACACATGTTCCATAATTGTGTGATACTATTATCAAATGGTACCACAAAAAAAGAAAAATTATAACCTGGGCCCTTTAACTAGATTTGTAAAATGACAACATTATTATGGTCACGATAACAGCACGTAAGTTCCCCAATGACTTAAATCCCATAGCTATATATTATATAGTTCACTTGATAGGGCACAAAGCCTCTATAGCTATGAAAATTTATAATTATCTTCTTAAAAAATCATCGCCTGCGAGAGATACTAGTATTGTCGCCTAGACTCCCTTGGTCTACATCTACCTTCACATGCTTGTTGTTCCACTCGAGAACAATCAGGTAGTCGGAACAGGCAAAGGAAATTACAGTTTTTGCTCAAACTTCTTCGCCTTGAGGTAGTTGTTGCTTGTGCGTTTGCTCATCTCTCTTTCCCTTCTCTAATTTTGATGATGTCATATAAATTTGTGATGATGACAGGAGTTCAAAAGAATTCTGCAACCACTAATAGCTCCAGTAATTACGTAACTCTTTAGCCATTGTATTGTTGTGTTATTCCTAATTCAACTCACCTGAATAATTGATTCTGGTGCAATTGATCATATGATTGATTGTTCTAAATTATTCTCATCCTATAGACCTTAGATAATAAAAATTTCAAAATTGTTGATGGTTCTCTCTTGGTGATTATTGAGATAGGAACTATCCTCATGATGCGCTTCATATTTCTAATTTGCCTTTCAACTTATTGTCAATTAGTAAAACCATATTTGACCATTGGTGTAAAATTAACTTCTTATGAGCATCAATAAAGGATCACTAGAAGGATGATTGATAGTACTAAGGAAAAAAAAACTCTATTATTTTGACAATGGACTTTGACTCGAATAAACAATTTCAAAGTACTTATTTGAATTTTATTTTTTATTTCCAAAGACAATAAAATTGTGTTATGACGTTATTGGGGTTTTATCCCACAAACCCAAACGTACACACACCGCATATACAAGGCCATGAACCTAGAACCTCTTGGTTGAAAGACAAAGCTCTCAACCACTAGACCAAGGTGGCTTGCATTATATGTTAAAATATCCTAATTTTTAACATTTAAAAAACTTATTTCATAATTTATTTCAGAATAAAAATGTTATCTTTTCAATGTAAAATTTGTCAATTTGTTAATCATCATTATGTCATTTTCTTTCCAAACTTACAAACGAACAACACTATTTACTCTTAGTCATAGTAACAGATGACATTTTTATAACACTTTTACATATTCCAGAATAAAAGTTTTATCACGTTTACTGATGATCATACAAATTAAGTTGGACATAATTAATAAATGAAAAATCTAAAATGGAAACAATTTAAAAAAAAAATTACACCATGATACAAAAACAATTTTAAAAGACTATTCAAATATTAGGGAATGATAATGCAAAAAAATGCTTCAAAATTATTTTTGGTCAATTTTTTGTTCATAAAAGAATAGTTCATCGGAGCTCTTATATCGACATTCCACAACAAAATGGTGCGATTAAAGAAAAAATAAAAACTTATTGGAAGTAGTTCGGTCAATGTTGTTTACAACTCAGGTGCCAAAATATGTTTAAGGTGAAGTTGTTCTTATTGCTATATTCCTTATAAATAGAACACCTAATAAAATTTTAAACTTTAAAAATAAGTTTTGATATTTTTCATAAAATTTACCCAACAAATCAGCTCTCATCTTCTTTAACTTTAAAGATATTTTTGTGTACTGAATTTATTCACATTCATGTTCATAATAAAAAAAAATTGAACCTCGAACTAAAAAATGTGTATTTGTTGGTTATGCTCCCACTCAATAGGGATATACATATTTAGATCCTCTTCGCTAAAAAAAATATTTGTTATCATAAACTTCACGAAGTAAATTGTAGAACTGTGGTCCTCTTCGCTAAGTAAATTGTAGAACTGTGGTCAAACATACTACAATGAGAGCAAGGAGGGTGTGGTTCTATTTCAACATTTTACCAATACCCGTTGTGAGTGGTGTTAATCCATACCTCATCCGGAGCTGGTTGAGTGATATCTCTCTCAACTAACACACAAGTCACAGAGGGTCTGGTGACAACAAACATAAGACTATCAACCTTAAGAGACTTATGGTAAGCAGTTGCTAAAGAGTATAGTATTTCCAAGTTGAACAAATATAATTTTAACCTAGAAAATTTGATCCAAACAATAATGATATGGGACTCTGCTTTTGGATCAAAATCAACAATCAACTTCAGAATTTTCATAAAACGGTTGTCGATCTTAATAAATTTTTGAGAAAAAATGCGAGTACATTCGACATCGTGAGACAACTGAATAAGCATATGTTGACTATCAAGTAATTCAATATTTCAACAACCCAATAACTTCATAACATCAAACTCTTTCCGAATGATCTCCAATTTTGGGTGACTATCAAGTAACACACAAAAATACAACACACACAAATCCCAAATAAAACAAAGATACATAAATGTAAAAAATAAAAAAACTACCAAATGGCGCAAAAGTGCTAGGGATATCCCACTTTAGTCCTCCCTTTGCTCTAGTTCTCGGAATTGAGCCGGCTAACAAATTGGTAACATGAGAACCATTGCCCAAAGTAACCAAAGTATTATCCATCAGATTCCTAAGCTCAAGTAGGTCTCCATTCTTCTTCTTCCTCCTGGATTTGTAGACATATCATTTCTCATCTGATGATTGACTCATATGATCAGTAGATTCCAAAATTGGTCAGACAGTTGTAGTTTGTTGCACATCATGATCCCCATGAGCCTGAGTAACATTAACAACTTGCTCGATCTGATGAGGTGATAGTGAAGCAGTAGAAGTATTGTCACTTGTAATATCGGTGTAGGTTCTAAGACAGGTAGGGTCTGAAGAATCTCCCTCTCCCCCACTATAAGAGGTTCCAAAAGAAAGGGAGCTACAACAGGGGACTAAATGATTGTCATATTGCCTACAAAAATAGAGAATCTTCAGGGGTATCCTTTTGATGATCAATAGAGTTATAACTTGCAGCTGATCAGGAGGAGATGAAATCACTGCCTCTAGCGGAGCACTGTGTTTTTTTGGTCTGAGTTAGGGGCGTAGATGGTGACATTGAGAACTGGAGTGGTCGAACATACGATAGTTGGAACAATACGAAGGAAAAGACTCAATCACTACCTTTTGCCAATATCCATGATGTTGTGTGTCCAACCAAATTTTCTCAAACGGATAAAGTGATATCTCTTTCAACAAGAACTCTTGCTTCTGATGGGCGGGAAAGATTAAAAGTAGAAATATCTGTTTTGATTGGCTTAACATAAATCGAGGCAATAGAGTACAAAACTTTTTTAGGAAAATAATGAACTTTCAGACTAGGAAGGCGAATCCAAACTGGAATGATTGGTGGTTACGCCCGTGGGTCAAAGTCCACAGACCATTTCAGAATTTTCATTGCTCTGTTATCAATCCAGTTTATCATTCTAGCAAACAAGCGCGTGTAATCCTCTTCACGTGTAATCCTCTTTGTTATTAATTTGTATGAGAATATGTCTTCCATCTAACAGTCCAATTTTTCACTCCCCAACAAGATGCATAAGCTCAAATTCTTTACGAATCAGTTCCATTTTGGGATGACCATACAAAAATTTCCCAACCAAATTCAATCGATAGGAGAAAGCAAGTTGAATACCTTCAATTTCTGTAAAAAGGATGACAGGTTTCCCATTCTTCCTACCTGGTTTCTCTTCGCCCACAAAACAAAGGAGGGAAAGAGCACGATTTAGGTGTACCTGAAGCATGGACACCCGCAAGGGCAGCAACATACGATCTGTCCGAAGCCATCCCCAATAAATGGAGGTGCGACGTTAAGAACAGTGAAGAAAGCAAAACAGAGAGCAAACTCTGAATCCATAATAGGAAGCAGAAGCAGAAACCCAAAGCCCCTGCGAATTCAACTTGAGCTTGAGGACGAGAGGCGATGACTGAAAGGTGTGACTGCACGAGCAGCAGACAACGAAGAGATGCCGAGCTCGACAACTGAGCCCGACGAAGCCGCAGGAACAGTAGAAGAGAGGCGACGACTGGAAGGCACGACTGCACAAGCAGACGAGATTCCGAGCTCGACGACTGAGCCCAAAGCAGCCGCACGAGCAACAGACGAGATGATCGACAAAGCAGACGACTCACATCGACAGTGGCGACAATGACGAAAATGATGAAATCAACAAGCGACGAGCAAAGCTTGATCGATGAAGAGATGCAGTGAAGTAATAACCAGGGATCACCATGACGAAACCCTCGCAGAGCATGAGCGTGAGCGGGAATGCCATATATGCATATATATGTATATTGGCGACAACGATGAAAATGACGAAATCAACGAGCGACGAGCAGAGCTTGATCGACGAAGAGATGCAATGGAGAAAACTGATTGTAGAGCAATTTGCATACCTTCTACTCCGACGATGCAACAAATAACAGAGATCTTCACCAAAGAACTTTTCAAGTCCAACTTTGAGGTCTTTGTAAGCAAGTTGGGCCTATATCTATGCTCCAGCTTGAGGAGGCGTGTCAGATTTTTAGGAATTTTTATTTTTTCCATTTTCTACTCATAGAAATTTCTATTTTTCGTAATTTCCGTTCCCTTTTCTAGCATGGGAATTTTGTGGCTTTCTTCATTTGGTGGCTGTAAACGTTTCTTATGAAAATGAGGAATAGTTATTTTTTCTTTTCAAAAAACTACATAATGATATCCCTCTGATCTCTTAATCTCCTTTAAAAATGATTCTAAATTATGTAATCATCACATAAAATCTGCTCAGTTTCTTCATTATTAAAATGTTGTATCTTTGCATTTTGAAAGTATGAGGTTTTCAAAGGATATAACTCTGCATATTGAATTCCACATGTTGCATACAATTGTGTTGAGAACTTGGCAGAGGACATCTACCAGCACAATACAAAATCAGAAAGAACTGAAAAGCATGCTTAAACATCAACTTTCGTTACTTCTTCCTCATGTATCTCTAGATTTTGATTATATCCATTGCGAATAATATGCTGCCCGCAACAGCTACTCGCAAAAATGTCTAGTCCATTAGCTTTTTATAAAAATTTCAGTGGTTTTAATTATTTTTTCTTATTGTATGCCTAAATAATCTGCATATCGTGTCTAATATATAGTAGCTCCAGCAAGGTAAATTCAACAAAGTTTTCCAGTGTGCTTGTGGCAGAATCACCATAGAATTTCGCAAGAATAAACCTTTATTAACATTTATTGAACTCTGCATCTGTGCACCGTTGAATCATTTCCCTTGAATTTTAGTTCTTTTTTTATGAATCTTAACAAATTATAATTCATGGTAACACTTAAAAGAGCAACTGTACAAGGCAAAATAAAACCTTTACCGGATAATAATTCCCCGCAACTGGTTGAGTCACCTTAAGTTCCCAATCCTCTCTATAATCTCGAACCTACATTTGTACAAAAATTCCAAATATCAATAAAGACCACCATAAGAAACATGTAAAGCGGATAGCTTTAAGGCTTTATAACATTTTTGTTTTCTAATTGAACAATGACATGCTTAACACATGCATTTAAAAACATGATGAGTGATTGAAAAGCCAGTGCATTTCTTGCAACCAAAGAATTGAAAAGATGAATTCAAGCCCCACCCATAGATTTGAGAATTGAACTAGAAAACGCATCATGATACAATATCTTTTGACAAATTTCAAAACTATCAATTATTGGATGTAATTTGCCATTTTATAATGTTATTAGTGCCTTTAGAATTACCTTCAGCTTTAGAAAAGAAAATTTCAAAATTTTCTTTGCTAATACAAATTAGGATTTAAAGAATGATTAAGAAAATTGTTTCTTTCTTTTTTGTGAGATTTTCACTGATGTTTCTACCAAGAATTGTAATCTTTCCACATCCAGCACCATCCCGACCTGTTCTGCCCTTCTTCCTTCAAATTCCACTCCACAATAGGTGTCAAAAGTTCTTTTTCTCGCCGTTGGAGCAATCTACTTTCACGTTGTTATGTTTAACATCTTCATATTTTTTTCAGTAAAATAAGAAAAAAAGCAAAAAAAGTTTTTTTTTATATTTTTTTATATTATACTGGTCGTGTTCTAAAATTTAGTTTAAATGTAAAAGCTCAGAAAACTACAAAAAATATAAAATATGCCGTAGCGAATCTAAGAGAATAATTTGTGACGGTAAAAATTTTTCTTTTAGTGATTTTTATAATAAATTAGATATCAAAGAGGGTGAAAACTATATGTATAAACCAGCCCAACAAAAAGAAAAGAAAAGTAAAGATTTAACTCAAGTAAAGTGTATTAAAAATGAGAATCAAAAAGTGTTTTTCTTAGAAACAAATATTCAACAGACGGGTAAGTTATTTTGATGAACATTTCAATAAAGTTTCTGAAAATATGATCGGCCTTAGTAATTAATATCTTTAATAATAATAAAATGTTTCATTTTTACAGTTGCTTTGGTTAAGAAAGAAGTTGAGGCTGCTTTAAAAAAAAACCAATGGTGGAAAATTTGTAAGACCTGATCATATCCCAATTGAAGTATGAAAATATTTAGGAGATTTGAGAGTTTCTTGGCTTACTAAAGTCATTAATATTATTTTAAGAACTAAAAGATGTTTGAGGAGTGGAAGAAGAGAATTTTGGTCCCCATTTTTAAGAATAAAGAGGATGCAAAAGAGTGTGCAAATTATAGAGGAATTATGCTGATGTGTCATACTTTAAAATTATGGGAGAGGGTAATTGAACATTGGTTAAGAAACATTACAAAGATTTCTCATAATTAATTTGGATTTATGTCAGGCAGGTCTACCATGGAAGCTATACATTTATTGAGAGCTTTGATGGAGAAGTACAGAGAGAATAAGAAATATCTACATATGATTTTTATTGATTTAGAAAAATCTTATGATAAGATTCCAAAAGAAATCCTTTGGAGAGTTCTTGAGAAGAAAAGTGTTTGCTGAATATAAAAAAGTTTGGGAATCAAACCCAAGAAATAAAACGTAACGTTGAGCAGAGCTGGAAAGGAAGAATAGTAATGAATAGTAGAAGACGCGTAACCTTTTTACCGTAAAATAACCTATATTTATAGATAAAGTGGTATGAATGTTACAATTACAAATTTTCCCTCTACTCATCAGCTCTGAGGGGTTACTTTGGTAAATTACATGGAAAATACAATAAAATATCAAATAGGATCGTCCGAATGAAACTAAATCTGGCGATCGTTTAGCCTAGTCAATTGATAATGATGCCAATACTCAACCAGTTGTTTCGGGGTGGACCGACCGCCTAGCCTGCCTTTGATTGACTTTTAGACCTTGGGGTTGCCAACCGATCGGATGGTTCTATGTATGACCGATTGGATGGTTCTTCACCGACCATCCACTCTTTTTGCATCATCATATTTTCCTGAGAGCCACTTTATTGTTAGCCAATCTCTTGATCTTCGAAAGACCGTCCTTTGTGTGGAACGTTGAATTGCTTTGAGAATCATGTCATCATATTTTTTGTATACAGTGTTGATATGACTTCTATTCAAGTCATTAAAGATATGTATACTAGAGTTGTTACTTGTGTGTGTATAGAAGGAAGATTGAACAAATATTTTCCAAAATTTAGTTGGAATACATTTGGGATCAGCTTTAAGCTCATATCTTTTTTGCTTTAGTTATGAATACTCTTACTAGACATTTGCAGGATGATGCACCTTGAAGTATGCTTTTTGTTGATGATATCCTTCTTGTGGACAAGACTAAAGAAAGAGTTCAAGAAAAACTTGAGTTTTGGAAGCTTACTTTGAAATTTAAAGGCTTTCGTTTAAGTAGAACTAAAACTAAATACATGAAATGTAATTTTAGTAGTAGTAGCTCTAGTGGCATAGTTGTAACTATGGGTGATCAACTCATTAAAAGGTGTGAATTTTTAGATATCTCAGGTCTATTATTCAAAGTGATGGTGATATAGATGGGGATGATATTAAATTCAAGTTTGTTGGCTGAAGTGGAGAAATGTATCGAGCCTATTGTGTGATAGAAAAGTACTACTTAGACTGAAAGGAAAATTTTATATGGTTATGAGACTTGCAATGCATAGGGTTGGCCTTTAAAAGAAAAGCATAAAACCAAGTGTTGTCGAGATGAGAATGCTTAGGTGGATGAGTGTCTTTACACTTGGAAACAAAATGTGAAATCAATATATCTGTGATAGGGTTGGTGTAGTTCCATTGGCAGACTAAATTAGAGGGAGTCACTTTAGATGGTTTGGTCACAATAAATGTCGACCATTTGATGATCTAGATTGGCGGACTAAATTAGAGGGAGCCACTTTAGATGGTTTGGTCACAATAAATGTCGACCATTTGATGATCTAGTTAGGAGAGTTGATGTTTTAATTTCGACTTATATTAAGAAAGACAGAGGTAGACATAGAAAGCTTTGGGCATATTGTATAAAAAATGATCTTAATTTATTAGAATTAAATGAAAATATGACAATCAATAGGACGCAATGGAGAAAAATGATTTATGTAGCCAACCCCACTGAGTGGGATAAAAGCTTGTTGTTGTTGTTGTTAATGTATATTATACTAGTTGATTTCTGCCAGGATTATGCAAAATACATGATAAATTACTAATTTTGAGTAAATTTTATCAAGATTACTTAAGATATAAAAATGCTGAAGTGTCATATCAATTATAAATTATTAGAAACAGCCTATCTAAATTATCTTCACGCAGCAGTAAAGATTAACATACAATTTAGCTAATTCATTGAGTTTAAAATTCTAAGAAATCATAATGAATATAGTGCTAACTGCTAATGTACTCACCATAGGACTGACTTTTTTTTTTTTTATTCTGCTTTAATAAAAATGCAGAAATAATTACTGTAGTTACTTAACTTCACATGTAGCAGTGACAAGTAAGGACAACCGCTCTGTTTTTTTTTTTTTCCATTAGTTTTTTTTTTCATGAAGGCGAATGGAAACATATTTGCCTTCTTTTGAGAATCAAATTATTGGAATAGCTATGCCTAAAAACAAAAGTACTTTTATATTTGATTCAAGTATAACTAAATGACAGTTTGGGAGCACTTTTAATTTTTGTTTTTAATTTTTAATTTTTGTTTTGTTTTGTTTACCTTTTACTTGAAATAAAACATGTTTGGTATGTTATAAAATAGTTAAATGTTTTTAAAAATACTCAAAAATTATATTTAGGTATTTTGTGTGTTTTTAAATACATGTTTTTGAAAAAAAAAATAAAAGCATGCAAAAATGCACTGAACACATGTTTTTAAAATAAAAATAAAACAAATACAAATAACAAAATATAAAATTGATCCCAAACAAACCCTTATTTACTGCAATAAGAAGAGCATGAGAATCCTGTTATGCCAAGCTATACAGAGAAAACAAAAAAGAAAGAGATCATGGAAGAATTTATCAAAGAGTAGAATTCGTGAAAATTACACGTTTAAGGAAGTCTCTTCCGTTGGAGTCTGTATAAAATGTCTTATTTGTGACCATGTTGGCTGTTAACCGAGTGATAACCTCCTTTCCCACGCCATCATCAGTTGGGATTGGACCAATCTTCACATACAAAAGCTAAACAGAATTAAAAACTAGAAGAAGATAATTACACTAAATATCAACCATAATAAGAATAATATATGTAACTATCGAAAAATAACTTACAGTAAACTCAAATTCAGCACTTTCCCGGTCCTTGTATACTCTTGTGACCTGTTTAAAGTCAAAAAATAATAAGATTTATAAGCATGATTTTTTACAGGAACATGAATCAATCAGGAATAAGTATGAAATATTTCCTTGTTAAAATCGCAGTGTCGACTATCAATGTAGTATAATCTAGTCAAGTAAGTTAACACTTATTCTGCAAAAAGTACTAGTATGCATAAAATTTATCTCCTCTTTTCATATTTTTCATGTATATAACATAAAAGGTTACGAACTAATGAAAAGTAACTTAATCAGCAGTTAAATAATTACAATAATAAAAATTGATTACTTAAACAAATGAACACATTTGGTCTTAAATTCTTGATCTATTCTTTGATTAAATATGTAAATCCACAACTTAAGAAATAACCACACACTTGACTCAAGTCCCAAAAAAAAGTAATGCAGTGCCATCATCTAGTAGACCAACCTTCAAAAATCTCAAATGGTGCATCTTTCTGCTAAATTTTCGGAGAATCGAGCATTATATGACAAAAAGTCATCCTACTCAACAAAATGAGTACAACTTAAGCAACTACAAAGAAATGCCAGACGAATAGTAAAAAAGACAACAAAATTAGAATTTAAATGATGACATAGGAAAGCCAATGTTATCAAAGTGCAAAGAGCAATGCGATGTGCAAGACTTTAATTTTGCTTAAAAGCATAAAGCTAAATGACATTTTTATTAACCAATATGCTAATAGGTTTTACAAAATTATTAATTTATAAATGCATTAATTAATAATTATATAATATAAACTATAATTTAAAAGTGGATATAAAAAAAATACAGTACAATAAATAACTTGAAGGTGAATAATGAGTAAATCTGTAAATTAAAACTTCAAATAATTTCTAAGTATTTGCTGTAATAATTTGAAACTTAAAAAGTATAAAAAATATATTTCTATAAATTAATATCCGCACTTTGAAGCACGCCACAACGAAGTGAAAATGGCCTCACGTGCTTTGCTTTGCTTTGCTCGTGAAGCACGAAGTATGCTTCTACATAAAAAAAAAATTGCATGAACTCTAATTTACAACGCCTTGAAACCTGGCAAACCTTGGTTAGCGATAATTTTTTTCTTACTCCTACAGTTCTTGGAAAACACGGTTTGAAACCTCTTCCCAACCGAGTGTCGATATTGAAAGTCTCCCATCAAAATCATTAAGTTACTCCAAAAAAATTGGTTATTGAAATCCTCAATAATAGGAAGCCGAGAGTCCAGCATATTACAAAAATCAGGACAAATGTTGCTGCACGAAATTAAGGAGCTGAAATGGGGGCATACTTTAAAGGCTCTGATTTCAAGGTAAGTTTTAGAATTGGTCTCAACTTTTGCATGCAAGCGTGATTTAAAGTAAAAACTGCAACCATTTTGTTTAAAGGTAGAATATGTTTATTTGTATGCCCTTCGTGAATCTATATGTTTGATTTCCTCAATTTGGAGTAAGCATTGAAACAATCATGAGTAATTGAGCCAAAAATTTTGCAGAAAGAATAACAGGAAAATATGCCTAAAATTTCTACCTTCATTGAATAGCACAAGAGTAAACAATCCACACTTCCTTTTCCAGAGGAATAGTATTATCCATTTTAGTCATAACTATATGCATAGATGATTAAAAGAATCGAGTAACAGCAGCATCTATTTGCAAGGGCTCACAAAAAATAAAAAATAAAAAATAAAATAAAATAAAAGAATAAAAAACCCCAGAGATTAAAAGATAAGATCGATTGAAATAGTACAGATGAAGTTGAGAAAAAGTAACACAAAAGGGAAAGATAAATGATAACAATCGTCCTAGTTTATTGAAATGGGTAGTCCTTCTAGGTTTTCTTGGGGAAAATGTCATTTCAAAACTTGATCTTGCTCGCACAAGAGTATCAACACTTCTTCCTTGGTAGATACAGCAAGCATATAAAGAAAGTGTGGGTATAGTGCTATTGAAAAAGGTTTAAACATATACAATGGTGAAGTGAATGAAACAATTTGCAGAGGCGCAAGAATAACGGAAAAGGCTGAGTAATGTGAGCCATTGTTAAGCTAAAGTAGATTAATGCAGCTATGAAGAGTAATCAATAAAAACAAGGTCCATTAAGAAGACGTAAAAAATTAAGGCAAGCAATGCTTTAAAAATGCAGTGACACAAGAAGCTTTGGTTCTTATTTCAAAGTGTACATGAACATGCAACAATGTGAACATGTAACATGGATAGTGAGCAAAATAGATTTAAGACCTCATAAATATTAAATATACATAAATGAAGACTAATGATCCATAGAGGAGGCCATATATAGTTGGGATAAGGCTAATGATAATGATCGTGATGATTATGTTTTGAAATTAGAATCAAAATTTAGTGGAAAAATGGATAAAAATGCTGCTTCCATAAAACCTGCGTAGAATGAGTGTGCAGATACTAGTCGAAGAAGACATAGGGGATGAGGGAGAACTTGGGTTGCAACAGGAACTAATGTCCTAGTGCGTATCGTCACGTGAAAGAAGAAGAAGCCGGAAGAGGAAGTGTGTGGCTCTGTTCAGAGGAAGGAGATCCGAAGTCGGGGAAGCCTCATGTGTGTCGATTGAAATATATAAGGCGAGTTAAATATTTTAATTAAGTTATTTAATAAATTTTATGAAAATATATGTGTGAGTGTGAGTTTATTTAATTAATGTTCATAGAAAGTTTAATTGAGTCAGCATCGAAGCTCTTAAGTCACAAATTAGAGGGAGAAAAAGTGATGCGAACTTCTTGCACGGGTGAACAGGAAAAATCACAAGCGTGAAGTGGAGAGCCAAAGCTCTAATTTGTGTGGCCGAAGATAAAAGTGAGTTAGAGTTTTATGATGTTAATTATTTGAATTGAAATAATTGTTTACTTATTAAATACTAATAATAGGTTTAACTTAATCAAATATTAAAGTTAGAAGATTAGAGGCTAAGGGGCCGTTTGGGGTGGATTAAAGTCGCGGGTGGCATTTTCAAAACGCCGCCATTATGTTTGGTAATTACGTCCCTGATGCGTTTCACGAACCGTTGTGTTTGGATTGTTAATAAAAGGGACCAAGGAACTATCACGCGTCCCGCGTTCGTCGCTCGCGTTTTACCCCGTTGCCCTCGCGTCCTCTCTGCTCCTCGATCCGAGCCCTAGATCTTCCAGGATTTTCGACTTCGATGATTTCGCAAAGGTGCACGCCATTCTCCTCGCTGCCACCAGCATCCCATCAGCTCTCCACCGGCAACTCTTTCACCATTAAACAGTGCGAGAGAGGACTCCAGCGGCACCTTCTCCTCTAGTTTTAGAATCTGATTGCTCTTAACCTTTGGGGAAACAAGCTTCAAAATGCAGATAGAGTTACCAGGAGATCACAAAAAGCAAAAAACTTAAGTACTTTATGGTTGAACGATAACCCTGTTCTGCAGAATTAGTAATTTTGCTGGCTATATCCATTTTTTCTCTCATTTGTATTATTTTCTTCATAACCTTAGGTAGTATTCCATGCTTTTAGCAAACCGCTCCTGCTTTTGTTGTCTTAAAGTTCAATTTGGAGCCATTTTCTTATAAATTCCCTTTAGCTTTCTCAGTTATTGAGAAATCATTATGAAATTAGTGTTTGGAAACACGGGTTACTGAAAAGAAAAGGAAAATAAGCCTTTTAACATCTAACCTGAATCCATGACATGCATTGCAGCATTTTTTTTTTCTTTCGTATTTAATTGATTTTCGACATCTACAGTAGCTAGAGGAAAATTTCTTCAGCTGTACTGGTCATTTTTTATTTATTGGTTCTTTAGTAATTCTTACATGGACAACTAACTGTCAAAATTGTGACTTTAGTGGCAGTTTTGTTGCAAATGCAATTCACGAAGGCATCTCTAGTCTTGAAATTTATAATTCGTGCTTCACTAATAATTCTTCAAAGTGGGCATTGTGATTTTGTCAAGACATTATAGAAGTGGATAATCCTATATCTAATTTGGAGACTGCTAGCCAGTTTATCTAGAAAAGGGACAGAAATATCATTTATCCAGAAACAACTGCAAATCAGCTATTTTTTAAATGCACAAACCAAACAGACCGCCAACTTATCCAGATCAGCTGCTGATCAACAACTTATCAGGATAAGCTGCTAATCTGAATAAGCTGGATAAGGTGCACTACCCCAAACAGACCCTAAATCAAATAGAATTGTAAAGGAGAAAGAGGAATCTTGTGCACAAGGAAGCAAACCAAACTATTAAGGCAAGGATTTATACACTTATTTATATTTTTGTTTTTACTCATATTTTATTAGATAGATTTTAAATTTTCATGAGTAGAATTAGGGGAATTTTTTATTCAAAAGCTATTTGAAAAAAAATATTTAAATAAACTACATATATTTAATTTTTTTCTAGGTGGGACTCTTATAATTATATACATAGTTAACTGAACTAGGTGATATTATAGAAAGTGAAGTGAATGAATAAATATTTACAAAAGTTTTTTAAGACAAAGGTGAGCAATTATTTACTTGTATGTAATGAAGTAAGGTTTTATTAAATGAATACTTGCATTACTAATAATACTTTCTTTAATAGTCAGAGACATTATAAATTAAACAATTACCGAAATGAATGAAGTGAAAACTGAAAAGGGAAAGTGATGGTTTTAATGATCTTAAATATAAGTAATTAAAAAAAAAATATATAAAAGCATATGTCAATCAGGAATACGCCAGTATGGTACTGATATCATATGGTACTGATATGGGATGCAACTCGTCCATGATAAATGAAATAGAAATGGTTAATGTGTAGTTTCGGTTGCAAATTTTTTAGGGTACCTATGCATAAAATTTTAAGGATACATTATAAAATGACAGTAATCCCGATATGACTTCTTAAAAAAAGATGAAAAAGATAAATACTTAACTTGAAATGAGAATGATTAAATTTAAAATGAATGCTTATAGTTTCAATAAATACTAAACTCTTTAATATTAATTAAAAATT